AGATGCTTTAATAGAAGGTTTATCACCCAGATAAATTATAATAAAGACTTGGCAATCGTGGATCGTTAAATATGAATTAAGGACTGATATTGGTGTTTTTTTCTACAACCAAGTAAGTAGACCTCTGACTTCACTCAGCCTTGCTACATGACGAGCTTTCCAACTTCTGGAGGATTGCAGTATTGACCTAGCCTGGGTTGCAACTGCTACACAACCACAGGTGATCCAACAAACAACATTGTATATTGGTATTGTCGATAAAGCATACGCGTATTTGACATCGAAATCGACTATATTACTTATTTCCGACATAAGTAAGTTTCTAAGCTGTCAGTAAATCTTGCATTATCACTCATACAGTGCGAAAAAAATTCACAGTAACTCCTGAAATCAGCTTAAGCAACCTAGGGCTATTTAAAAAAGTGGGCTGAGCTTTTTTCGCAGCTTGGTCGTGTTGTCAGGGAGAACGCACCTTTTACGCTAAATTAGTAATCAAAATCCCCAGTGTTTGACCGTGGATTTTGTACATTAACAGGCAGCTTGCTGGTATCGTATTGCCAATCTCAACACCAAGCTACAACTCGTCAAAGAGACAAACGAAGTCAATCCCTTGATCAAATTTCTGTCGAACGGTTGTTCCATCATTACTCTTTCTGTTCCAGCATATCTACCTACCCTCATTCCATCACAAAAACAAATTTTGCTTCGCTTATATTTAACGTAATTTCAGCAGAAAGTTGTTCAAGAGATTGATGAGGTCAAGCCACTTCTATACATCGAAACGAGGCTTCAACTATGCCAAAAGTCACATAATCTTGGTCTTCATATCCAATTATATTAAGCTCTTATTTAAGAATGGTAGATAATTTTGACTCTGGGTCCTATCGTCTCCACCAATATGATTGCAGCCCACATTTACAAATCACAGCGCCAATGAACTTTTGTCATATTGCTGTGCCAGCAAGTCAAGTGCGAGTCAAATCTTTCCTGTGCTCGATTGAGCCAGAAGCCCAGTTTGATTTAGGCTGGAAACTAGTTTGATCGTGCTGATGAAGCCTAGACGAAGCTGAGGCTGCATCAGAAACAGTCGTAGCAAGCCTTTTGGAGGCGGACAATTGAGAAACATTTGGCTTTTTCTCCATGAGGTCGTGAACTAGCAAATTAGATGGCCAAATATAGGGCCCATGTTTAAAGAAATGTATTCTCAAGTCGGAGGGGTGAATCGCCATGAAAGTTACATACTACTTTTAAGGAGGGAGTTGATAGGTAGAGGTCGACTCTGCTGAGC